GGAAATGCGCCATCATTCCCGGGAACTATTCCTAGGAAAAGTACTTGGTGTGAAAGTGCCTATCTACTGCAGTTGTTCATGTAGCCCAGTAGTCTGAAACAATATTTACAGTTTGAAAGGGCGTTAAATGAAATTTGGTGATGATTAAGGTTTTTTGTGTTAATGTAATAGCAGTTAAAACAGGACCGGTCAAATTTGACCGCAAACACCAAAGTAAGGAGGGGAAAGCGAACACAACAGGAGGGTTAATTGATGTTTTCCTTCCCCTCTGGAAACAGACTGATAGCAACACAGGCTCTGAAAGGATGTAAGAAATGTTCACCTGCATGTTTACGTTTTTAACCCTCTGCTCCTGTTGTGTCTCTTCTCATGTTACAGTGAGCACCGCAGCATCAGAGTTTGGATTTCTTCCAGCTTTTGGGCCGTGCTATGTCAACCTGTACGGAAGTCCGAGAGAATTTACTGGCCTGCCCGACCAATATGACGAACTCAACTTTGGAAAGGTTAGACCTCCCTATCAGCTGAGTACAGATCTGTTCAGCACTGTTTATATAGACACATGTTATTTGATCTTCATGATAATGTCTACTTTAAGTGTTTGCCTTTGATCTGTTGCAGGGTGAGGGGGTCGCCTACAGGGGGAGGGTCCTTGTTGAGCTGTCCACTCAGCTGGATGGAAAGGTTGATAAGAATGTGGATGACATCTCCAGTGATGACATCCTGGTGTCAGAGGTATAAACTGTGTACTGTCATTACTGCTTGTTACTGTTGGAGTCGGGAGGCCTGTTAATTTATTCCGGCAATTACTCAGACCTTCTAATTTACCTAACACAAGCTATTAAGTCTATTGCCCCTTTCACACCAACGCGGTTCCCGTTCTAGCTCCGTGCTAGAGCTCTTCTGGTTCGGAACCGTTTTTTATTTTCAGCCCCCGTTTTGTTCACACCGCCCAGAGCCCGAGTGGTGCTGCGTCATTGCGTCATCGTTTGCGTCATGACGTAATCGTTTACATGCCTGCTTCATAAAGCCAAACCGCGCGGAAACCCCTCACATCGAAAACAACAATGGCCGATTGTATTGAAGCGCTGCTTTTGATCTGTCAAAACCGAATGGAAATAATAAGACGGCTTCACCACAAACTTCCCATTCGTCACAAGCGACTTTCAAATGTTCTTTGACAGAGTCTAGCATGTCATAATGTGGACTTGTTTTTGGACGACCGCTGTCACTCCGTCCGAGGTCTCGCTTTTGGTCCCGATAATCTTTTTTTCAGTTTGTTGCAAATCTGGTCCACGGTTTACGTTTGGGGTTTTCCATCGCTGTGTACAAATAGGACAAAATGTGGGCTTTTTGTTGTTGTTCAGGAGGTTGATCCCGATCCTCCCCCTGCCCCCGCCTCCGACGTAAGCGGGACGTATACGGTTCTTGCTTCTAGACCGACTATTTTTTGGAGCTTGGTAAGAACCAGTTTTCGGGGAAAAGAGCCGGCTCCGCTGCGGTGTGAACAGGAAAAAAATTGTGTTTATCAAGCTCTAGCTCCGAACCGGCCCTGGAACCGCGTTGGTGTGAAAGGGGCATAAGTGTCCTTGCTGGTTGATAAAATGAGAGACAGTCACTTAAATATGTTGGGGCAAGGTTATGTGTATGTGATGATATCACTGTGCAGAAATACACAAAGAGGAAGGAAGTCAAAGTGTACCTGTAAGCTCTTTGACGGACAGGTGGAGGTCCCGCCCTCGAGGCCTATTGATTGGCCGTTAGGGTCGGAGATGTCCCTCCTTTGGCCTTCCTCTCCGTTACGAAGCCCTTCAGCCAGGGAGGGGTCAGGCTGACTCACAAACTTATAGACAAACTTCTGACCGCTCACCTTCTTTATGATATTCTGAAATAAGCATGAATAAATACACAACTGTAAGAAAATGCACTAAAGGAGAATCCATTTTCTTTTGCAGTAAAAGGGGTATTATTACCTCAGGAAAGGAGGTATTTTTGTGTGTGTCCACAATACAAATAAACAATGGACCTAGATTTTCTCAAACAAAGGGTGTAGCAGGGGCCAAGGAAGATCCCATTACATTTGGGATCCGATTTACAGGCAAACACACAAATTACGTTTCACTTTTTTTAAACATTGTAGGATCGGGCATTTGTGCTGCATTCATGGGTTGTTGGAAAAATCGGAAGAATGTGTTCCCTACTGGGAAAATTCACGTGAACCCTTATTATTTCTTACATCTTAACATGTTGGTTTCAACGCTTGGAGCAATAAAATACATATTCTTTGTGGTGTCCATGTTGTTTCCACATTACGACTTAATGCTCATGACTTCCCCACTCAGTATATAGGAACGTCTGAGGAACACTTGAATGCACCTTTGGAGGTCAGTGCTCGCCAAGAATCATTATAGTTATATGATAAGCATTACCTATGACCAATTATACTCAAAATCTGGAACAAAGCTGGAACACAACACAAGAAAATCATATATTATCAGTAGTATTAACCTTGTCGTAGTAGTATCTCAGCGCTCGGCTCAGCTTGTCGTAAGTCATGTTATTTTTGTTCTTGCGGAGACCCCATAGTCGCGCCACCTCCTCGGAGTCCAGCAGCTTGAACTCTCCGTCCTCACTTGTCCAGGAGATCAGGTGACGCTGCCGCTGATCCTCCAGCAGGTGGAGCAGGAACTGCCACAGCGTGATGGACGGGTCCATCGCTGAGGGACACACAGAGTTTCAAAATCAAAGTCAACTTTATTGTCAATCTTTCAGTTTGGGTCCAAGGCTAAAATCCCTGGGAGTTTCTCTCCCCCCTCCCCCACTACTTAAAACGCCTCCATTAGACTCCTTTATTTTCTTTCAGGAACATAATGTCATCACTATGACACAAACACTTCAGCTTCTATTGGCTAGCGCTCCAACACATTGTACGTGATAGGCTAAGGGGGCGGGACATAAACTCTTTAAAGTAGAGACACTACATACTGATATACACCTGAACATCAGCAGGAGAGGACTCTTTAAAGTAGAGACTCTACATACTGATATACACCTGAACATCAGCAGGAGAGGACTCTTTAAAGTAGAGACACTACATACTGATATACACCTGAACATCAGCAGGAGAGGACTCTTTAAAGTAGAGACACTACATACTGATATACACCTGAACATCAGCAGGAGAGGACTCTTTAAAGTAGAGACACTACATACTGATATACACCTGAACATCAGCAGGAGAGGACTCTTTAAAGTAGAGACACTACATACTGATATACACCTGAACATTTGACCACT